CCAAAGCGGTCTCATCAGCTTCTTCGTTCATGTTTGACTATTGTTCACTGTGGTTTGTTGTTGTCTGAAGTCATGAACGTTAGTTGGTGCTCCAGTATAATCGGTACCCCTGAAACTCATCCAGTGAGAAACGTTCCGCGGTGCAAAAATAAGTGCGATTAAAATGCGTTAATTTTTGTGTAATTAATTAATCTTAATTAACGCGTTAAAGTCCCGGCCCTAATTTAAACTGATGGTTCCTCGTGATTTAATCAATTTAGGAAAGGAAACCAATGGTGTGTTGTTCATTTATATGAAAACAAACTAGAAACTTTGCACATTGACTTTAAGGGAAATGCTGGAGCTATTTAAAAAAGAAATTAAACAATATATTTATTAATGTTTCATTATTTTAACAGTTACAAGACACGACAGACCTTACAAAAACTTACATAAATAATGAAAAACAGAGGCAAAAACAAGACAGGACATTATATGAATTTTTTTTTTTAATATAGGTAACACTTAATATTAAGGTATACAAATTAACCATCAACTAGTTGTTAATTAGGATGCATATTAGCAGTATATAGGCTCTTTATTAGTCATTATTTAACACTTATTAAGGCCTTATTCTGCATGACCGTATTCTACAAGTAATAAGCCATTAGTTGAGAGTTTTTCCTCAATAACCCTCTAATTAGTGCTTATTTATTGCGAGTAAGGAAGTTGTTGTACATGAGTTTTGGTCTTAATATGCTCTGCTCAATATGGGCCTAATAAGGCAGTAGTACCACAAGAATAGTAATTCTCCCTTAATGACACTTAACAAATATGATTTATTCTTATGTAACAAGACATGAAACTATAAGTATTAATTGTGTTAGTAACCAAATCGTGTTTTTACTTTCACATTTTTCATTCAGCTCAACCTTGTGAGCAGAGTTATCTGTGTCTGGCAGCAGGTGGATGATAACATTATGATACATGATGTAATGTGAAGTGTTTCAAAATAGGAATGGTACTCTGCCCGACCTCGATGGCCAAAGTTAATTTGCAATCCTATACGTAGTTTATCACTTTGCATCGAGCCTGGGATGAGAGTTGGAAATCTAATGTGCATAACTTCTGTCAAAGGAAGCAGTGCATTGTACTGTGAGCCTGACTGATAGAGATTTAAAGCTGCTGATTGTGTGATGTACTGACCCCTGGTGGACATGCCTGGTGACGTGTATGAATATGAACAGATCCATCTGTATTTTTATATAATGAAAATTATGTTATGTCAACATAATTGTCAGAACTTCCTAACATCTTTGTTTTGGTTTTTTCTTGTCAGGCGTCTCCTGCCTCTGGCCTGGTGTCCATATTAAAGAGGCGTCCTGTGTGTCTGGAAGACGTGAGTGAGATCGGCTCAGAGCCCCGACCGGACAAAACCCCGGCCAAAAGACGCGTCCGCTTCAAAGTCCCCGATGATGGCTGTGAACAAGGTGGATTTTTCATTTATTTCCCAAAGGTTAAAGACCTGTATCCCTCCATAAACACATCAAACACAGGAATTGGTCAGGGTTAATTATGATGAATCCACTTCCTCTCTAACTAAATCTCTCCTTCTCTCTTCCTCTGTAGATGTTGGCGGTGGAGACTCCTGCCTGCTACTCTTCCTGCTTTGTTTTGTTACCGTAGTGATCAGTGTGGGTGGCACCGCCCTTTACTGTGCTCTGGGCGACGCCCACTCCACCGTCTGTCAGGACTTCTCCAGGAACGCAGACTTCTACGTCGCCCAGCTGCAGAGCGGGATATCTCAGATCCAGCATTGGTTGGCCCCCGGGTCATAGCAGCAAACAGCTAGTCAACATTAAGGAGCAGCAGGTCTCACTGTGGATCTCTGGGGGTCCAGAAGCCCCTGCTGCTTCCTGGGACGATGTTTTATGAGGTCAGGGAGCCAGGCAGCTGCCACAGTCCCTGGCGCTGTGTGGAGCTAGCTGGTTGGCTAATATTACATCAGATTTTGGCATTTTTAAGCCTGCTCTACTTCGTTTTTAATACTCTTTGAATACAATCCCCGGGTTCGTTGAGCCTAAAAGTCTTTGGTGAGATTTTTCTTTACTACAGAACTTTGAGAGTTAAAGTAGGGCAGAAGGAGAAAGAGGAGAACGCAGAGTGCTTTACAGAAGAGGAGGAACTGACCTGCACGCCTCTCAATGCTGTCCACATTAAAAAGGTTACTCATTCTCGAGCTAAGTTTAGACATTCAAGTGTCCTATCGAACTAAGGTAACACGTGCACCGTCTGCCAGTGACACCTAAGTTTCTAAGGTCACTGATAGTGAAATCTACCATGACTGGATACAAACTTTTGCCGACTTCTCCAAGACTCATCTCCCTCAGTTACAAAAAAGAACAAAATTAATGAGCTGCAATCCAGGGTGATGTTTAAAAAAAAAAAAAGTATATATAATATAAAAGTATATATAATGTACAGTTTGTTGACTGGGGGCTCAGATATGTTCTACAAACACTGCACAATGGGAATGGCCCAATGCGCATTTTACAAACCTTTGCAGCCACTAGTGTTGCTTTTTATTGTTGACTTTTTTAATTCACACATTTTCAAATGAACAAAGCATTTTGTGGTCAACTACTTGGAATGAAATCATTATGTCTTAATCAATCTGAATGAATGTTTGGATTTGTAATGTTAGACTTTGATTTGTGTCACCTGTAGGGCATTTATGTATTATTCACATGGGACATGGGTCTCCTGTCTCCTGTACTGTTCTTTCTGCAGTGTGCTGACATGGCTGCCATGGAGACTCAAAGTCCAAACTCTACGTTTATGGGTTTCAATGAGCTATTCTTAACTTTATGTAGCATATGCAACATGTACAGGAACACAGTGCACCTCTGTATATACTGTCAGAAGAATGTTTAACATGTTGCACATAATACTGGTACGATTTAAAAAAAAAAAAAAAAGTATTGCAATATTTCTACAGGATCTGTTGTGTTGGTCCTGAGCGTAATGCTGGCTTTATTTCATTTGATCCGAAAATATCCATTTCCACCAACTGTTTTCCGGGTCAGTGTGAGTTCATGCCTGTTATGCACAGATAACTTGAACAGAAAATAATCTTATGCGGGTCTGGTGAGGTTTGAGATATGTCTTAAAACAGTTGCAAACAATTAGTGTAGGAAATAATAATTACTCATTGTACATTTGATATTTGGGACGATCGATATTTGAAGCTCTGTCTGCCTGTGTGTTTGCTCTTCTTAGATTATAGGCATCACTCTCAATATGTGATTGTCAATGTTTACTATTTGATTTTTTCCCAAATTATTCTTTGCGCGCAGTGTCCTTAAATAGTAATCTAGTGAACATTTGACATTTCCGATAAACAGTTGTCTGATTTGTTTACATCTGCTTGACCCGGTTTTCTAGACAAAGAGGTCCTTTCTCTTAGTGGAAAACTGATTTCCTTAACAAGAGAAAATACTTACTTTGTCCATGAATCAAAACCTTTATTCACACACTAGTGCTTTAACTACTATTTCTAATCATTTCAAGCAATCTTTATCAACCTTGCCTTTTTGCCTAATTTCTACCTTTTTATGTGTCAATGTTTGGCGTCCAGTTAGTCATCTTTCCTTTCGTGTGGATGCAATGAAAACTGCCCGTATCTCATAAAGGTCTTAATTGTCAGGATTTAAATAAAAAGACTTACTTATGCATTCAGAACAGTTAACCTCTTGTTATGGTGTGTCATCTACATAACCTGTACTAAGTTTGAGATAGGAGTTTTTCCTGGGACATCAGGAGTAGATCGTTATTTTTATTTCGCACATGTTGTCTGGCTGGTTCAGATAACCATCACTCAGAAAACGTCTTATTTAATCTTCTAGATGATTTTAAGTATTTGTAATACAAAGGATGTGAAATGGAGGTGGTTCAAAAATGAAGGTGCCTCTTTTGCATCTGTTGGTTTTTCTTGCTTGATAATCGTAAGCAGTTATTTCAACTCTTGCATCACCATTGCTCTTAAGGAGCCTTCGACGGAAAATTGAATTTCTCAGTCCATAACTCTTCCTAATGCCATGGTACACGTTTAGTCTCTAAAGCTGGCTTGGGACTGATGAGTTACTGCTGTCTTTAACTTCTTCTCTCACATTGCTAAAAGATTCATGTTTCTTCCATCTGTAAGCATTTGATTTGTTTTCATTTCTTTTACCCATTTGGTTTTTATGACATTCAGAAATGAAAAGTCAATTTTTGTTGTGTATGAATCAGTACTGTGTACGCTGATATTAGCCGGATGATGGGCGTTTGTCAAATTGTCTGATGAGTTCTTGCCTCTTGTTCTTACCGATTGTTATAAGGAGATGAGGTTTTTAATTTTTTGTTGTTAAAAAAAAAACTTCTTCCCAGACATGTTTCTTGTTAAAGCCATTGAAAAAAAGTTGTTTGTGAGCCTCCATTCTGTCTCTCCTGGAACGATACTCGCTGCTGTTCTTGTTCATTCAGTTTGAAAGTGGCCTGATGGTATATCGAGGTCCAGGTGCATGATGGGTTAAAAAAAGGCTGTCTATAAGTCTTACTGTGGATGTCTTCGTCATAAAGGCAACACGACGATTAGAAGTAAATGGGGGCAGTTCAGTTTGATCTTTACATGTATGAACCGTCATTACTAAATATTAACACTGCTTTCATCATAAGCTCCGGATGGACACCTATAACCGGTTCTTTGGGGTTTTTCACCAGAGAATTGAAAGTACAATTACACAGGGTTCTTGTGTGAATCCTTTTAAAGCTATAAAATACAAACAAATGAGTGATAATTTGAAATTGTTATATATTTCTTATGGGATGTAAACAATTACATTCATATCAGTATGTTTCTTTTTACATTTTGATAGTATTTTAACAATACATGATTTGCCTCACTTTGTCCACTAAATGATGCAGAACATGATATCACTCCTGTTAAGACAGGTTTGGTAAACACTTCATTGAGTGGGAAGTCACATATTCCTTTTGTTTTGTGGAGTATTGGCTCCAACATATATAATGTATAAACAGTACAGTATATGGCAAAAAAAATTCTAACCCACAAGTCAGAAACACCACCGATGCATTGTTTCCAACAGTGAAAAGTCAAAGAATAATACAGGGTTTGGGAGTGGCAAGGAAGCAGAACTGTTTGAATATCTGAACTTTTATTATTAGTCCAGACGGTGAATATCTGCCCCTCCAAAAAAAAATGGTCATTGTCCTTAAAAGTCTCGTAGAGAGGAGTTTGATCAGATAAAGTACAGGGACATCACTACAGGTGTGATCACTGCAGTCAGAGAGAAAACCAGTTTCCTGACAAGAGTTGTCTGAGCTTCACTTGCATCAGTGTGACAGATATTATGGAGGTTGAGTCTGTGTGAGTCGATCTGAGCTGAAGTCTTGTTTCCATATGAACTCGGGGCAGTACTGATCGTCATTGTTACAGCTGGCTGAGCAGGCGTAGACAGCGAGCGTCCCCCAGTCGATACTGGCTCCTGTAGAGTCCACACACAGATTGTTCAACAGCTGGGGCATCACCTGAAGAAACACAGATTATTCCATGTACCGAGCCTTTAAGGTGCTGACAGTGTTGACGTCACAGTGTTAGCTGAAGGTAAACAAATGTCATCCTGCTGTCTTGTTAGTCGCCAGAATCATAGGACTCATGCCTACAAATTATAAATACATCCCAAACCACTGGTAAGAAAACAAAGACAACTATGGTTGAATTAGATAATAAGACAAGGATTGTTCTTAAAAATGCTGGTAATTGTAGCAAACATATCAGATAAGGAAAGTTGTATTTCTTATAGTTATGGATATGTGTTTAAAGGTTTGTCATGCTCATGGAATCACAAATTGTTGAAGTAAAAAGAATAACATCCCTTTTCATTCTCAGCGCATTATCTGTACAACCAGGAAAAGAACTGTCTTCTCACTGCAAATAGCAGGGGGAGTAGTTATATGCATCTTGAGATTTATTAGACCTCTGTTTCTCTAATTACACTTGGTTTCTCTGGCAAATGTCTGCAGGTAATCTTGTCAGATCGCCAATCCATAGAGTCAGACGGTATCTTTCGGGGTCAGTCAATCTGCCCGGTAGAATAATGTTAATTTATCAGAATAATACTCACAGTTTCGGTCAATAAAACTTGCTAGAAAGAATAAGCTACTGTGTTCAGGGAATAATTCTGCCTGTCACGCCGACCACTCAAGTTGCAGTTTATATGATGTCTGCAGAAAATGTCCTCACTTTATAATTAAGTCCTATAAGACAATTTGTGTAAAATGATCATAATAAGCAGCCGAGTGGGACACAGACAACCTGTGAACATTATACTTTTGCAGCGTTAACAGCTGTGCCCAATGGATAATCTGTCTTTATCAATTTGAGTCATGTAAACAAATAAAAGGCCCCTTAACTTGTTTTTTATCACCAACGTGCACACTCACTTTTAATACGTGTGACAAAATAATCGCACGTCGGCATTTGAGACAGCGTTGAAGGGCGAAAGCTAGGGATAAAGAAGATGGAAGGACAATAAATGAATACCTGAAACTCAAAGATCCTCTTGGCGCCACAGGTGCATGGTGGGATATCCTGATCTGAAGGGATGTGCTGAGAAGACACCCACAAGGGGGAGCCCCCTCGACAGTACCGCACCACCTGAACAAAACACAGCACTGTGAGAAGGACTCTTTCTTACTTCATATCCTAAGTGCAGGGGTGTCCAAACTAAGGCCCGGGGGCCAAATGCGGCCTGCGGACCATTTTGAATCGGCCCTCATCAAATTCAAAAAGTATAATGGAATAAGGCCCACAAATGAAACTTGTGCTTGTCTTATATTGTACTTCTTAAATATACATGTACAATTATAATACACAGTAGTGTTCATGTGTTAATAAGACCACTTTGCAAATAAATTGTCAATTAAAGTTGGAAACATTTTCTAACATATCTTAGTTGATAAGAAAAAAGCCCAATTAAGTATTTACATAAAAAGCTTGAAATACACCCTTCCTATTTCTCCTTATTATAATCAATCTGAGGCTTCTGTTGTAAGGGATGAGCTGCCCACACTCACAAGCATCATTTACCTACATTTGATTCATTGTGCTAACTTATAACTGAACTTATGAGGCAATATAACTCTAGTGAGTGGCCCAGCCCTTCGTATATCTTTCTGTATGTGGTCC